CAGCCCACAGCCCCAAATGGCCCCAAACCTTGTGGTCCCCATCGCCATGAAGGTCCGCCAGCGCTGCGGGACAAACATGGGGTCATATGGGGTCACATGGGGGTATGGGGTCATATGGGGTGTTATGAGGGGTATGGGGTGCTGTGGACCACTATGGGGTGATTACGGGACTCTTATGGGGCACTTATGGGGCGTTCCCCCCGGACCTCACAACTCCGCCCCACAACCAACTTTTTCCCGTCGTGCCCCGCGCTCACCCATACACGTGCTGAACGTGCGCAGCCCGGACATGACGTCATCATGCGCCGCCAGCCACAGGGAGGAACTGAAGGAGGGGGAGGGAACCAAAAATGTCGCACCCGCAGAGGGCGGGGCAACGCCGCCAACAGGGCACCGCGGGGCGGCGTTAAAAACGTCACAGGGCGCGGGGGGGGGGGAAGCAGAAGACCGGAAATGGATAAGACCGGAAATAGGTCCATCCTAGCGCAGCGGTCCGTCGCTTTCACTGTTGCCCCCTCATTGGTTCCCATCTCTTCGGTCCCCCCCGTGTTTACACCCTTTCCCATTGGTTCCACCTCACCCGTTCCTCTCTCCCTCCCATTCCTCTCCCCATCCCATAATACCCTCCCTTTTAGGCTCCTCCCCCCATTCGCCCCCATCATATCGTTCCCCTCCCACCACCCCTTCACACTGTGGCCCTCCCCCTCCATCGGACCCCTCTTTCTTCCAACCCCGCCCCCCCCACCCTCCCCTCGAACCTCTCCTCCTCCAACACCGCCATCTTTGGTTGCCGTAGCGACGCGACCGGAAGTGAGCCCGGAAGTGGCGTCCGCCTCTGCCGGTTGCTTAGCAACCGTGAGGCCTAGCGACGGGGAAAGGCCTTCGGAGGGGGGTGGGGATCCAGAGGGTAAGCAAAGGGATTTGCGAAGGAACTATGGGGTTCCGAGGGGGCTCAATGGGGTCATGGGGGGGGAGGGGGTCCTTGTGTCAGCTATAGGGAATTGGGGGGGGCTGGGGGGTTTCTTAGGAGACCCTGGGGGGACGAGGGGGGAGGTTAGGGAATCTGAAGGGTTCTATGGGGCTCTGGGGGGCTGTATGAGAGTTCTAAAGGGTTCTGGAGGGGGTCCTAAAGGCCTTCGGAGGTCTCGGAGAGCTCCTGAGGAAGTTCCGAAGCTTCGGAACTCTTCGGCAAGTTCCGGCGTTGAGCTCGGGTACTTCCGGCGCCGCTCGGGCACTTCCTGCAACGCTCGGCTCTCTCCGCCCCTACAACGGCTGCTGTGCTCGGGTATCTCCGGCAGCGCTCGGGTGTTTCCGTCTCTCTCTCAACCTGGTAAGACTCCAGGTTCGGAAAATCACGATTTTTAAACTTTTCCGATTAAAAACTGTGCTGAAAAAGGCGAATTTGGAGGCAGAAATAGGGCTGCGTGGCCTCGAAATGAGAACCTGAGTGGAAAAATGAGGGTTTTGGACCAAGAAATGAGGATCTGAGCCCTCAACATTGGGCTCCGAATGCTGAAAATCCGGGGGGTTTGGACCCAGAAGAGATTTTTAAGTACAAAATGGAGCACTGGGCCCCAAAATAGGGATGGTGAGAACACTTGCCACCAAAACCTCAAAAACACCCAAACTGTGCCAAAATGGGGTCAGTTTATTGCCTTCAGGAGTTGGTATGAGGATAGTTAGAGAGGTTCTAGGTCCTCCAATGGTGTTCTGGGCCAAAAAATATGGATTTGGGTTAAAAACTGACACTTTGGACCCCAAAATAATGACCCACACCCCCAAAGATCCCCAAAAAACTCATGAACACCCCAGTTCTGCCAAGATGGGATCTATGTGTTGCCTTCAGGACTCGCATTAACACTCTTTGAGAGGGTCTTAATCCTCCAACGGTGTTCTGAGCCAAAAAAATACAGATTTGGGATAAAAATGGATGCTTTGGACCTTAAAATGAAAACCCACAACCCCCAAAGATCCCCAAAAAACCTCAAAAACACCCAAATTCTGCCAGGATGGGTCAAATTTATTGCCGCTAGGACTCCCTGTTAAGTCCCTTCCAAAGGTTCTAGGTCCTCCAACGATGTTCTGTGCCAAATCCCACGGGTTTGGGTTAAAAACCGAAGCTTTCCACCTCCCAACCTGTTGACAAACCCCCCCAAAGACACCCCAGATTTGCCAGCAGGGGCTCCATTTATTGCCTTTAGGAGTTGGCGTTGGGGCCCTTCTTCTTGCCAAAGGTGGGCACCACGTTGACGAAGCGCCGGTTGTACTGCATGCGCCGCTTGGCACGGCCCGTCTTCTTCTTCTTCTTCTCCTGTTTGGCCACCTGGGGGAGGGGAGGGGGTGGGGTTT